GCGAGATGTTTATGATGACGAAGTTTTGCGGGCCTTGAAGGAAATGGGGCCCTTAAAAGCGCTTGGAGCTAATGGGCTCAATGCTTTGTTTTTTCAAAGTCAGTGGTCGAGGATAGGTCTCATTTATGGTGGGGATCTGCCGGCCGAAATCAATAAAACACTTATCGTCCTTATCCCCAAAATAGACCAGCCAGAAACAATCAAACATTTTCGCCCGATAAGCCTTTTAAACGTGGTGTATAAGTTGATGACGAAGGTGCTCACTAACCGGATGAAGCCGCTTCTTCCTGGCTTAATCGGACAAGCCCAATCTAGTTTCATTTCGGGGCGACAAATACATGATAACATTATTGTGGCCCAAGAACTCCTACATTCTATGAGGACTAAATCTGGAGCTCGGGGTTTCTTGGTGGTGAAAGTCGACCTAGAAAAAGCGTATGACTTCCATCGGTGGGACTTCGTTGAGTCTACACTTCACATGGCTGGCTTCCCAACAACCTTTGTGACAGCCGTCATGAAATGTATTACATCCGCCTCAATGCAAATCTTGTGGAATGGAGTGCCAAGCGAGGAGTTTAGGCCGTCCAGGGGGGTACGTCAAGAGGACCTTATCTCACCGTACTTATTTGTCCTTTGCATTGAATGGCTAGTGCATGCTATTCAACGAGAAGTGAGTGGTGGTAGATGGCGACCCATCTCGGTGGGGCGGGGTTTGTTGAAAATTCCGTATCTACTCTTTGCGGATGATCTCCTAATATTTCTGGAGGCATCGACTGACCAGGTATTCACTTTGAAGGAGGTCCTATCCAATTTTTGTGCGGAGTCCGGCCTGAAAGTGAGCGAATCTAAAACCACCATTTTCTTCTCCAAAAATGTCGCCTTAAGCGAGCAAATGTCCCTCTCAAGGATGTTGGGATACACATTGGTGGAGGATCTCGGCTATTACTTGGGAGTCCCTATTATTCATGGCAGGATCACGAGCCAGACTTATGGGAAAATCATTGAGAAGGCAGAATCTCGGTTATCGGGCTGGAAAGCAGCATCTTTATCTATGGCGGGTTGTGTACTTCTGTCGCAAGCTGTCATAAGCCCCCTCCCTTATTTTACTATGCAATCAACTTGGCTACCAAACTCCACTTGTGAAGAATTGGAAAAATGTTGCAGACGCTTTATCTGGGGGAGTACGGCCAATAAACGTAAACTCAGCCTAGTCAAATGGGAGGAGATGTGTATGACAAGAGATCAAGGCGGTCTGGGTTTGAAACGACAAAGGACCATGAACGAGGCTATGTTTATGAAGCTGGGATGGAGATTTTTAACTAACCAAAAAGCGTTATGGATCGAAGTTTGGAAAGCTAAATATGGGGCTAATCCCTTTGTCGACAGTAGAGGATCGGGCTCGGTAGTTATGAAGTCCGTACAGAAAATCTGGAATCATGTAACTGCTGGAGCTCGTTGGGCCGTGTGTGATGGCGGCTCAGCTCTTTTTTGGAACGACAAATGGCTTAGTTCGAATTTAGTCCTACTGAACGTGGCGACTGGACTGGTCCCTCCTGAACTACTCAATAAAGCTGTGCGTTTCTTTTCCTCTGATGTGGGCTCTTGGCGTTGGGATTTGTTTGCACATTTGCTACCAGCATCAGCCTTGCTTCAGATCGCGGCCGTCCCGACGCCACATCAGGAGCTAGGACGCGATCGTGTATATTGGGGCCCCTCGGATACAGGTAAGTTCACCACTAAATCCGCTTATGCTCTGTTGACTGGAGAAGTCTTCTCGAATTCCTGTCGTTTGTGGCGAGCTGTATGGACATGGCCGGGGCCTCAAAAAATCAGACAATTCTTATGGCTCCTCGCAAAGAACTGCATGTTGACTAATTCCGAAAGAAAGCGACGACATTTGACACATAATACGTTTTGCAAGAGGTGTGGCCAGGCGGAGGAGTCGGCGGTGCATGTCGTACGGGATTGCTCTATAGCAAAGGAGATTTGGCGACGTCTACTCCCAGGTAAATTTCACGCCAATTTTTTTACCTTAAATCTCGAGCCGTGGCTATGGTTGAATTTGGTTAACTCACCGAATATTGATGTGGCCAACTAGGAGACCACTTTCGAAGTGGTGGTTTGGAAGCTCTGGAGGTGGCGTAATGAGTTCCTCTTCCAGGGCAAAATGAGAGAAGTGCCTGATGGATTAACCAAAATAATGTGCTATACCACGGGCTTAACGAAGGTTTGGGAAGGGGATAAAAAACTTGGGGTGACGGGCTGTATGAGAGTACCCAGGTGGATTCGATGGGAAATGCCTCTGTCGGGATGGGTGAAACTAAAATCGGATGGCTCCTTTAATGCCATTTCGGGTGTAGGTTGTGCGGGTGGACTCATCCGCGACGAACAGGGTCATTGTTTAGGAGGTTTCTCAATGAAAATCGGCTTTTGTTCGATCATGGCGGCGGAATTATGGGGATTATTCCGGGGCCTTTCTTTGGCATGGGACCTGGGTTTTCGACGAGTTGTAGCTGAAGTGGATAATGAGAATGTTGTGCGGTTCTCTAGGTCGTTCGAAGTGATTCAGGGGGTGCATGTCGGGCTCATTCTGGATATTAAGGAACTCTTGGGCCGAGATTGGATGGTCAAAATAAATCACGTATTTCGCGAAGCGAACTTTGCAGCCGACCACTTGGCTTCCTTCGCAGTGGAAGGATCTTTGGGATATCGTCCTTTTACCGTCTCACCAGATGGTATTCGACCGTGGTTAGAAAACGACCTTATTGGCGTGTCGTACTCGCGGAACGTATGTAACTCAAGCTCATAGGCTTTGCCTTCTTCCA